GCGCTAGCCTTGAGCTGAAGAGCTGAGGGACAGCGCCCAGGCCCGGAGTTCAGGCCCCATGACCGGACCCAAAAAAAAATTAAAAAAAAAAAGAGTCTCATAGACTTTCCTGCCCGGGCTGGCTTTGAACCATGATCCACAGAACTCAGTCTCCTGAGTAGCTAGGATTACAGGCCTGCGCCACTGGCACCCGGCACACCTTGCTTTTTATAAACTCGTACAATTTAACTGTTACATAGAATCATTGTCAGACTCTATTGTGTAGGGGAGAACAACATGAAAAGAGTCCACGCATGTCCGTACTGATGAACATTTGCTTTCAAGTATCTATGAGAACCTCAGATATGAAAGGTGACCCATATAAGGATCATCTTCCCCAGAAAAAAAAAGTCATAATTTTTCAGGTATGATGGTGCACACTTGCAGTTCCATACTCAGGAGGCTAAAGTAGAAGGATCTCAAGCTCAAGGCTAGTGTGGGCTACACAGTGAGACCATCTCAAAAACAAGGGGGGCAGGGCTGGGAAGGTGGCTCAGTGGTAGAGCGCTTGCCTCGTCTGCATGAGGCTCTGGGTTCGATTCCTCAGCACCACATAAACAGGAAAAGCTGGAAGTGGTGCTGTGGCTCAAGTGGTAGAGCCTAGCCTTGAGCTGAAGAGCTGAGGGACAGCGCCTAGGCCCAGAGTTCAGGCCCCACGACCAACAAAAAAAAAACAAGGGGGAGGGGGGGCACAACCTCATACCTAACATCTCTCTTTTTTTTTTTGTGAAAATACTGTTACAATTACATGGGCAAGATAATGAGTATATTTCTTATCAAGCATTGTAGCTAGCCTCCTCCTGTTTCCCCTTCCCACCCCTTCCCAGCCTCCCCCCACCCCTCCACCCAATCCTCCCCTCACCCCACCAAAGTTGTAAAGTTCATTTGACATGACAGCGTGTACTTTTCATTGTTGCAATGGGTCCACCTGTATCCTTATTTAAACAACTTGTTTTTCCCCTTCCCCTCCACAAATTATACCGACATCAAATACAGTAAAAGCAGGGGTCTAACATCTCTTAACTGCCCAGTCTTCTCTACCTGCTTACGTCAACCACTCAAAAAAATTAAAGATCCTCACACATAGTCAAGATGGTTTCTAAGGTCAGCATAGTGACTTATGCCTGTAATCCCATCTATTCAGGAGGCAGGGATTAGGAGGATTCTGAAGGTTTAAGACCAGTGTAGACAGAATGTTTAGACACCCATCTCCACCAAACTGCGTGTGTATGAGTATGTCTGTCATTCCAGCTATAAAAAACACAGACCTTCCTTGGAAAGTAACGAAAGCAAAAAATATGTAGGGGCATGGCTCAGATGGCAGAGCACCTGCCTGATAAGCACAAATTCAAGGTCAAACCCCAATAACAGCAAAAAAGAAAAAAAATGGAAAACAAAAGAACAGGTCACAGATCTGAGGAGGGTCACCCCAAGGTAAGTGTGCTTCTTAGCCATGCCCACAAACTCACCTCAGTGGCCAACAGTAAGGACACAGGTGTTAAGGCAGGAACTTGTCGAACATCACAGCTTATGCCAAGGGTGGTCAGGATCTCCCGAAGGACTTCATATCTTTTCATATTGCTTGATTTGAGCAAGTTAAAGTCTTCTTGAGTTTGTACTGTGGGAGAGCTGGGAGGTAGTTCTAGATGGACCTGAGGAGAAAAATGCCAGTCACTTACACAATGAAAAGAAGTCTGTACCAGGTGTTCTGAAAACTTGAACATAAACTCTTTTTATCAGCCACATACAAACTCTGAACCTGGACTTCAGGAAAGCACCAGCAAGCAACACCGAGAGTAAAAAAGATTAAATGAAGGTCATGCCTATCTTACTAGCTATTCAGGAGGCTGAGATCTGTGGATAGCAGTTCAAAGCCAGCCCTGGCAGGAAAGTCTAGGAGACTTATCTCTGATTAACCAGCAAGTGCCACAAGTGGAGGTGTGGCTCAAGTGACAGAGCAGCTGCCTAGAGCTAAGGGACCACACCCTGCCCCTGAGTTCAAGTCCCAGTGCCAGCAAAGAAAAAAAAAGATTGAAGTTGTGGCTCCCAGGCTAGAGGGCACAGTGGAGTCCATCTTGGAGGGTCTACGAACTCCTCCTAGGTGATGACTTACCACCACACTGCACATGACCTTGGGCAAGTCCCTTAACTTGAGCTGAAACGTCTAGAAGATGCTTGTGCTAGGAACACACCTGAAGTCAGGTGTGGACCCAGGGAGGTACATGGGTCCTGTTGGAAATTTCCATTCCACCCACAGTCACAGCTGGGAAACACCATGGAGGAGAGTCCAGTCAGTCCTTGTTTCTGAGTGTTTGCAGGAATTTAAACAGCTGAATGCGGCTTCTCTGAACCCTCCTTCACCTGGCTGAATTCTGGGTTTGGTCCAGGCTTCACTGTCTAGGTAAAAATATCTCCACCTACCAACATCTCTGCCTTGAATGAGGGATGGTACTGGTGGGACCTTTGGCTTCCTTAAGAGCAGATTTTAACTGGGCTGTTAAAGCTTGGAGTCACTATAATATGGGCATCCAGAAGAGAGACCTGAGCTAGTTTATTTTCACCAACCATCACACACTGGAAAAATTAAATGCACGGTGCCAGCCTGCAGGGCTTCTGATCTCTCAATTCCCACCCAAGGCTTAAGCCAATCTAACCTCCAAATATTATCACCTACAATGGACTGAATGCTAAACATGACGGCCAATCTGTAAAGGCTGGCAGAGCACTGTCCAACATGGTCCCTGATTGGTGGGGAACAAGGGGGCTTGCCCTCCAAATGGCTCTGGAGAGAGGGAGGCACGAAGGATCCCTCACAGGACCCATCCTGTAGAGTCGAGTCTCCTCTACTCGAAGTGGGGGCCTCTGCTCTCAAGCACACAAAGCAGGGCTAGGTGGACACCGGCACAGCAGCGTGGTCATCCGGAGGGGACCTTGCAGGTGGCAGAGTTGTCTGTCCAGAGCTCAGTCACAGAGAAAGGCACAGGGCGCAGTGCTCGCAGCTCACTGGATGGAGTGTTTGCACGTCATATCCAAGAAGCACACACAGAGGAATGCACTGAACTCATTTCCACTTACCCAGAGCTACACCAGAACTCCTAGTTCAAGGGAGAAAGACAGTGAAATTGAATAAATGCTCTAGCCTAGATCACGGTTTCAAGATTGAGGCATGGATGGGGGTGCAGCTCCACAGCAGAGTGCTTGCCCAACATGTACCAAGCGCTGGCTTCCACCACCATCCCTGGTTCTGTGCCTGGACAGAGAACGGCGCAGAGGAGAGTGTGCAGTCTCATCAACTCTGCTTTAATGTTGTTTCTATGGTCACAGCCTATCTCTGTAACTTGGCTTCTTCTAAATGGAAGGCTTTTCAACAGGACTAAAAGGCAGAGATAAAAACACATCCAACTACCAACTAAGGGTACTGGCATCTGGTGGGTAGAGACCAGGGTGCCACTACCCATCCCAAAAGGCTCAGGACTCCCTCCAACAACAGAGAATTATCTGGCCCTGCATGTCAATGAAGCCGTGAATGAGAAACTAGGCCATAAAAGCAGAACCACTCTGCCATGAACTAAATTTTCGGGCTGGGAAGGTGGCTCAGTGGTAAAGTGCTTGCCTTGCATGCATGAGGCCCTGGGTTCAATTCCTCAGCACCACATAAGCAGAAAAAGCTGGAAGTGGCACTGTGGTTCAAGTGGTAGAGCGCTAGCCTTGAGCTGAATTGTTCAGGGACAGCACCCAGGACCAGAGTTCAAGCACCATGACCAACAGGAAAAAGAAAAAAGAAAGAAAGAAAGAAAGAAAACAAACTTTTCATTGGAATCCATTTCAGAGCTTTGGACAACTTCAAGTCAAACTCCTGGCAGCCTCAATCTACATCCTTAAACATTCCCAACAAATTCAGTCAGTACTACAAGCAATTGAACATTCCCTCCTTTCTCTTTTTTGGTAGTACTAACATTTGAATTCAGGACTTCACACTTTCAAGATGGTGCTCAGCATTTGAGCCATGCCTCCAGTCCTGGTTTTTTTCCTCCATCTTGAAGATGGGAGTCTAGCAAACTTCCATTCCTAGACCTCAGTCTCCTGAGTAGCTAGGATTACAGGTATGAGCTGTGGGCTCCTGACTTTCTTGACCATTATGAAGGCAAAGGCAGAAATCGGCAACAGGTTTAGCCCAGACACCCGCACCTAACACACAGCTGTGTTTTTTCCTTGAAGTCCTTTATCACCTCTTACTGGGTTACATCATTACTAGATTTATGACAAAGATGAAGACTATGAAATTGAACAAAGAAAGAGGAAACTAACCAGCCTGTAGTAATATTTATTAGTTGATCTCAGTGCAGTATCACGGCGACAGAGGCCTGTGGAGAAAGCAGTGACCCTGTCACACAGAAGACTGGAAGTCATTTAAAATCAAAAATGACATCCTAATCCTCTGAATCTGATTTGTGAGCCTGCATCATATTGCCTTTTGTTTTCTAGGACAAGCCTGTGCTATCAAGTTTTATGACAGTCCTGGGGTCGGCTGAAATGGTGTGCCAAGCAGATTTGCTATGGAACGCAGAGAAATGGATCACATTTTCTAGTACAAGACTGAGCAGAGGTGGTAAAAGCCACTCTTCAAAACTGAAATATGGCTCTAGGAAGTTAGGTTTTTAAGTGGATTTTCTGAGAATGCACTGTTACTATAGTGACCATATTTGCAGAGAAAAAGATAAGAGGGACATTTATTAGGCCTCCAAAAATGAACCCATGTGGCTCACAGCCCTACAGGAAACCGGCTGGGGTTATACGTGTTCATCTGTCCCAATGTCCAGATTGCTGAATTTTAAGGATCTCTGCCTGAGTATTATTTTACAACAAATGAGGGTATTTTGGGAGGGCAAAGAAACAAACCTATATGCCCTCAAAAGACGTGTGGTCAGAAAAAAACAAAAGAACATAGATTCTATGAGGGCTGGAAACAGACATGGTATACAGGATGAAAATAAACTGAAAAAAAAAAAAAACCAATTCTATACCCAGTAAAAGGTTTCCTATGACAAAATGAAGGCTCAATCTGCTCATATTTGGAAGGCTTCTGGGCTCCATTCCTGAGTTCCTCATTACATGATGGATCCTTGAGAGTGGAGTATATTCATCTAACAACTTTTTTTTTTTGGGGGGGGGTCCAGTCGTGGAGCCTGAACTCTGGGCCTGGGTGCTGTCCCTCAGCTCTTCAGCTCAAGGCTAGTGCTCCACCACTTCAGCCACAGCACCACTTCAGACTTTTTTCTTTTTTGCTTATGTGGTGCTGAGGAATCGAACCCAGGGCCTGAGAGGCATGCAAGACAAGCGCTCTACCACTGAGCCATCTTCCCAGCCCCTCATCTAACAACTTCTGACCCAAGGCTTCAGAGGTTTTCAATAAACAGTGAGGAATGCCCAAACATTAACAAAAGGTTACAGAAGAAAGAAGAGGCAGAGGACTTCCAAGCCCTTCCAATTTTCCTTCTATCCGCTGCCCATTGCTTCTTCACCAATGTAGAAATATGCCACAAACCTAGGTCACAGTTCACAAATCCAAATCATAGTCCAGGTGTGCACCCAGGCAGGAAATGATACCCTACACAAAAAATAACCAATGCAAACCAAAGACAGCACCTCATGCCTATAAGCCTACATACCCAGTTCACCCAAGATCTGAGGATCACAGTTCAAAGCCAGCTGGGGCAGGAGAGTCTATGAGACTCTTATCACCAATTAACTACCAAAAAAAAAGGAATGGAAATGGAGCTGTGGCTCAATGTGGTAGAGCACTAGCCTTGAGCACAAAAGCTCAAGGACAGTGCCCAGCAGGCCCTGAGTTCAAGCTCCAGAACTGGTGTGCACGCACGCGTACACGCGCTTGAGCACGCACACACAAAATGGGCCACCAGTGGCTCGATCCTGTAATACTAGCTACTCAGGAAGCTGAGATCTGAGGACTGTGGTTCAAAGCCAGCTCAGGCAGGCAAGTCCATAAGACTTTTTTTTTTGGTCAGTTGTAGGGCTTGAACTCTAGACCTGAGCCCTGTCCCTCAGCTCTTCAGCTCCAGATGAGTGCTCTACCACTTGAGCTACAGCACCACTTCCGTTTTTTTAGTGGTTTATTGGAGGTAAGAGTCTCCCAGGACTTTCCTGCAAGCCTGTTCTATTATCCCAACTACATGGAAGCCTAACACAGACAGATTGCAAGGGCAAAGTCAAGGCTGGTGGCATGACTCAGTGGCAAAAATACTTGCTTAGCATTTGTGAGGACCCAGTATCACCAAAATAACAATAATAGGCATGACTCGGGCTTGCTAGGCACCAGCCTAGCAAGAGCAAGGCCCTAAATTAACCCCCTCCCCCACAAGATGAAAAATAAGTATACCATAAATCTAACCAATTTTAGCATACTCTTATTTGGGGTTTTTCTCAGCACTTGGATTTTAAACTAGTCTGAAGACAAGAATAAAGGATGTATGACACTAACAGGCTTCGTTATTTTAACATGATGGGCACTGAGTTTGGAATCACTAACCCTGAGCTAGGGAGGTAGTTTAGTGGTAGAGTTCTTGCCTTGCATGCATGAGGCCCTGGGTTCAATTCCTCAGCACCACATAAGCAGAAAAAGCCGGAAGTGGCACTGTGGCTCAAGTGGTAGTGCGCTAGCCTTGAGCTGAAGAGCTGAGGGACAGCACCCAGACCTGGAGTTCAGGCCCCACAACCACCAACAAAAACAGCAAAAAAGAATCACTAACCCTAGGTCTTTCAACTTTCTACATTAAATAAGGGCTCTATTTTCTTGTCTAGAGTGTACTCTAAGACAAGAAAGTAGCTAATAAATTTCATAAACATAGCCAGGTGCCAGTGGCTCATGCCTGCAATCCTAGCTACTCAGGAGACTAAGATCTGAGGATTACAGTTCAAAGCAAGCCCAGGCAGGAAAGTCCGTGAGACTCTTATCTTCAATAAACCGCTCAGAAAACCAGAAGTGGTTCAAGTGATAGAGCACTTACCTTGAGCTGAAGAGCTCAGGGACAGGCCCAGGCCCAGAGTTCAAGCCCCATGACCAACAACAACAACAAAAATTATGAACATTTTTGCCAGTAAAGATCAAAACAATGGGCTGGGAAGATGGCTCGGTGGTAGAGCGCTTGCCTTGCATGCATGAGGCCCTGGGTTTGATTCCTCAGCACCACATAAGCAGAAAAAGCTGGAAATGGCACTGTGGCTCAAGCGGTAAAGCGCTAGCCTTGAGCTGAAGAGCTGAGGGACAGTGACCAGGCCCAGAGTTCAGGCCCCACAACCGGACCCAAAAAAAAAAGAAAAAAGAAAGATCAAAACAAGAAAGAGTTTCCTGACTAATCCTTGAGTCAGGTTACCCTAACACCTCCTGCCTCATCTCCATCTCAAGTGTTCTGGTGAATCAAGGTATCCAAAGAATCCCTAAGCTTTCCACTCACCACAAGCCAAGAATAAAGTAACGGTGGCACAAGATGTCTGAGCACGTTTAGAGAGTGTGTCCCACCCCAGTCTACCCAGGAGCAGGGCTTATGCCACCCTCGGTACCATCTTTCACACCTGGCAAAGAACAGCCTCTCCTCCACAGCTTCCAAAAGGCACTTGCAGGATCGTTCTATCCTTGTCCTCAGTGTCCAGGTGGCCGTGGAGCCCAGCAGGGCTGAGCTGCTCTCTGGGGCCTGCCTTGTAGAAGCGGCCACTGCTCAGGACGCTGAGCCTCACCTCGCTCCGGTCAGCCTTGCAGAAAACCAAGTCCTGGACTGTCTTCCGCAGCATGCCCTCCCCTGTCACCTGAAAGCCACCAAAGGTGAATGAAGATGACAGAGCCAGCACCTTCCCTCCCTGAGAAAGATAGGCCATGAACTTCTGGTACAGGTCTTTGGGAATGGGCTCCAAGGCAGCAATGACCAACAAGATACAGTTGTCGGCCCATGGGTCCCTGAGCCCACTGTCCTCGGGCAGGTGGTAGATGGTGTAGCTGTCCGCATCCACACAGTCAGCTAGAACAGAACGGACCTGCTCCAGCCGGCCCAATGTGTCTTGAGTGCCAGGACCCACATAGACTAGGATGTTGGGTGCCTTGCCCACCATGTTAACTCTGCTTTCTTCTCTTTTGGGGCAGAGCTCATCAGTGACAGCCTCCAAACCGCTGCTGTGGTCATAGGGAAGATCTGGAATGTTCTCTGCAGAGGCAAACTTTACTGACTCGATGGTGCTGTTCTCCAGTTCCAAACACTCGTGGCAACTGAATAGGTGGAGGTGGGAATGCTCCTCCGGCTCTCCCTCCCCATCTGTACGCTGCTTGCAAGAGTCTTGGCCAGGAGCCCTGGGCTCATCTCTGTCGGCATGCTGCACAGGCTTGGGCTCTGGGGAAGGCCTGGCAGCCAGCTTGAGGCTTTGCACTTGCCCTCTTGCAGCCTGGTCCTTTAGTTCCTTCAGAGTGGAGTCCTGCAAGTGCACCGCTAGAGCACAAAGAGGAGAGGTCATAAGCCAGTGCTAACTGTTTGCTACAGCGCCCAGATCACGAGCCTCCAGCTGCCGCCCACATTCCACGGCTAACAGTCCAGGGCAGCCCGCTGCCTGGCTCCCACCAGCAGTGCCCCCTCAACTCGAGGCATCCCTGGAAAACATGCAATTGCGCCCACCACTGAGAGGGCACTCCTGAAGGACCCGACCGGCATGCTCAGTGTCTACTGCCTTTGACACTCAGGATCTCAGGTCCACCACTGACTGGGGAGATGGGTGAGCCAGGGAGGTCATTCTGCCTACTTCACCCAGAGCACTGACTTCTGAAGTGTTGTTCTTCTGTATGATAATGACACCAAAAAGAAAGGAAGGCATAGAGGCAGGCATCCAAGCATGCCCAGGGGAGTCACTCTCAGGGTACAGCAAAGGGTCCACAGAGAAAAGGGTCCATCCAGTACCTTTTCTCTGAATTCAAATATAAATTTACAAGCACTAATTCAAATACAGTTACTGAGTCAGGCACTAGTGGCTTACATGTATAATCCTAGCCACTCAAGAGGGCTGAGATCCAGAGGAATACAGTTTGAAGTCAGCCTATGCAGAAAAACCTACTGCACTCCATCTCCAGAACAGCCAACAAAAAGCAGGACTGAGGGGCTGGGAAGGTGGCTCAGTGGTAGAGCGCTTGCCTTGCATGCATGAGGCCCTGGGTTCGATTCCTCAGCATCACATAAGCAAAAAGAAAAAAGCTGGAAGTGGCGCTGTGGCTCAAGTGGTAGAGCGCTAGCCTTGAGCTGAAGAACTGAGGGACAGCACCCAGGCCCAGAGTTCTGGCCCCATGACTGGACCCAAAAAAAATTTAAAAAAGCAGGACTGAAGATGTGTCTCAAGTGGTAGAGTACTGTCTAGGAAGTCTGAGGCTCTAGATTCAAACTAAGTCCAAACCCAGTACTACCCAAAAAAGAAAAAAATTATTGAGCACTTGCTATATGCATGTCTGACATGGTATGAGGCACATGCACACAGTAAATCAAGAAATCATATGATTAACACCAATTTCCAAAGTTGTTGATACCTGCATAAGGCACAAATATTTTTTTTTTTATTGTGCTGGTCCTAGGGCTTGAACTCAGGGCCTAAGCACTGTCCCTGAGCTTTTATACTCAAGGCTAGTGCACTACCACTTTGAGCCACAGCACCATTTCCAGCTTTTTGGTAGTTAATTGGAAGTAAGAGTCTCACAGACTTTCTTGCCTGGGCTGGCTTTGAAACTCAATCCTCAGATCTCAGCCTCCTGAGTAGCAGGCCAAATGAAAACTCTTATACACACAGATAGCTTGCATGTAAGCCTAAGGTTGGATATGTTTCCTGAACAAAGATTTGTCTCTAATAAATTTGTGATATGCATATTTTAAGGAACAAGGTGTTAGATTCAAAAGTTCCTGGTAATACCAGCTGTGTTTCCCATCAGATCACAAGTACAGTGTAGAATGGGTATCTTATATTACATTGCATGGTGCCATCTCCCGACAATACAATGGTGCAAAATTCTGGTTTGAGTTGGTGCCAGTGGCTCACGCTTGCAATCCTGGCTACGTGGAGGGAAAGATAAGAAGACTGTACTCTGAGGCCAGCCTGGGCAAATGTTCACAATATTCCATCTCAACCAATAACTGAGAATGGTAGCATGCACCTGTCTTTCCAGCTATGTAAGAGGCTGGAAGCAGAAGGATTGCAGGCCAGCCAAGGCCAAAAAGAGAAAGTTCACAAGACCCCATCTGCACAATAAAAGCTAAGAGTACTGATGTGAAGTACTAGAGGACCATGGTCCATACCTGCCCTGGCAAAAATACACATCCTATCTCAAAAACAGCCAGAGCATGCCAGATACCTGCAGCTCATACCTGTAATCTAGGTACTCAGGAGGCTGAGATCTGAGGATTGGGATTCAAAGCCAATCCTGGTAAGAGAGTCCATGAAAACGTTATCTCCAATTAACCAGCAAAACCCCAAAAGGGGAGATGTGACTCAACTGGTAGAGCATCAACTTTGAACAAAAAAGTTAATGGACAATGCCAAGGCCCCGAGAAGTTCAAGCACACAGCTAGCACACATACATAAACAGCCAGAGTAGGAAGGGCTGGAGGTGTAAGTCAAGTAGTAGATACTTGCCTAGCAAGTAAGAAGTTTTAAGTTCAACCTCAATACTACCAAAGGAAAAAAAAATCTATTAACTTTATCTCCATGTGCTCCCCAAAATCTCAACATGAGTTTTATACTAATATGGTTAAATCAAACTAGCTTGGCTAACTTAACCTAAGTAATGCCTTAAACTAGACCAGCAGAGTGCACCACAGCACTCAGCTAATAACCTGAGATGTCCCACTAGGAGCTACTTACAGACAATCTTTTGGGGTATCAGTCCATTATCCATCTGGAGTCTATCTTCCATGAACGCCACTCCCAGCTTGCTAAAATTGTCCACGCTTGCTTCAGCAATGAACTGGTAGGGATCCCCAGGTCGGCAAGCTAATGGCAAACAGTAGTCAGACCACTTGACAATCTGAGAAAAGAGGAGGTGAGGGGGAAGGAAAAGAAGGGCTGAGACTTTGTCTCTAGAATAAGCAGACACTATTTTTTTTTCAGATTCTTCACATTAATTGCGGTCAGATGCAAACTAATTGCTGGGTACTGATGACATCTTATTAATATCCAAGTTGTTTGGGCTCAAACACTTTCATTCTAGCTGATAAGTGCACCCTCCTGTACATCATCTTTATAATAACAATTAAAAAGAAGGGGAAACATTAAATTAGAACCCTGTCATTTCAAAGGAGCTAAAGTTTCTGTTGCTTTAAGGAACTAAAAGGACAAGGACCCCTCTGAAACTGCTGTCCTTGGTCACAGGGTGGAGAGGACAAGTCCACCATACTCAATGACTTCAAATGTACCCTGTCACCATCTCTGCTCAGGTGCCATCCAAGAACCATAGGCCCAATCTGTGATGGTGTACATTGAGGAATCAGGCTGTCACAGTGAGACTTTCCTGGGATGCTGCTGGCAGTTCACATCCCTACCACAAGGGGGTGGAGACCCAGCGCAGCCCAGAATTCAGCACTGGGGAGAGCAAAGCTCAAAATCCGAAGGATGAAGCGGGCAGCTGGAGAGAAGAGCCTGGCTCTAGTATTCTAGTGCTCCAGTGCTCCAGGAATCTGAGCCTAATTCAAAGTCTGCTCATCACCACTACCTGACTGGCAAGCCTCGGCCCCTCAGTGTCCCCGCTGGCCAAACTGGAAGCAGGTCAGTACTAAGATCATCATCTCACTTGTGAGATGATGTGATGAGAGTGAAGGTCAAGGTAAGGCCCCCCCACACACACAAAAGCCTGGAGCAGAAGATAAATTAAAAGCTGGAAGAACTTTTCAGATGAGGATGAGTGGGAAAGTCGCAACAAGACAGTGCAACTTCTGCAGAAAGCTAAAAGGAAATGCTGCTATCAGCTACTTCCAGCTATGGCCCACAGAACAAGTGAGGCTCAGCTTCGTTAAGTCTCCAATGGGCAAACACTGAGTTAGCACCCCACTGTGGCATGCACTGACTTCCTGTAAAAGAAACCAACAATTAAATTCTCATACGGCTCTGGAAGGGCAGAGATGCAAGGCAAAAAGAAAAAAGGAAGAGGAAGGCCAGGAAAAGGCCAAAGAACAATACATATATACTCACATCCCTGATCGAGTTTCTCCGCCAGGCCAACTGCTTCCTCAGCAAAGTGCACTTCCTTTCTCTAGGTCCCAGGTTTCTGGGCCACAGATAGTGTAAACTCCCCCAAGCAAGGCCAGGGCCCTTGGAGCAAAGCCAAGCCGCTTCATGGCTGACACTACTTCACTTCCCCATCCCCCCACCCTGCACCAATGCCTTCCAGAGGATAAAAGCAAACAGGACATACAAAAGAGGGAGAAGAAGAAAGGCGAAGTCAAGCAACAGGCTTACTCCTGAAGATCAAAGCTAAGGAAGTCCTGGTTGGCCCTAAACATGGGGTCTCCTCTTAGAAGAGGCAGGCAGAAATCTGCCCAAGAACTGAACTCTGGACTTGATGTCACACTGTGATGGCATGCAATGAATATCTGCTCCATTCAGCTTAAAACTCAAGTCCAGTGGAGAACCAGTGACTCATATTTACTATCCTAGACACTCAGGACACTGAGATCTCAGGACCACAGTTTGAAGCCCAGCCTAGATAGGAGAGTCCAGTTAACCACCAAAAAAATGGAAGGGGAGCTGAGGCTCAAGTGGGACAGTTTCAGCCTTGAGCAAAAAAGTTAAAGGACAGCACCCAGGCTCTGAGTTCAAGTCCCATTATCAGCATACACACATACATACCCTCAAAGTCCAAGAAGCAGCCCAGGAGTGAGAGACCAGGTTGGACAAGTATGTGTGGGTCTTGCACACAGCTGGTGGCATGAAGAAATTCTATAAAATGTGCCTGTGACAGTTTAGTGAGTCAGAAACTTATAAGACATGCTAAAGACAGAATGAATAGAACACGTGTGCGGAACACAAATAAAAAGGAGAGAAGTGAAGAGGGGATTATCTATAATCAGCAAGTTATAGAGCAGGGATGTAAATCTTAAATATTAGTAAGACCAAGTCCCACCACCCCCAGCCAGGCAGTCTCATCTTCCTTAAGCCTGTGGCCCATTCCAGCCCAGTGCACATCATCTTTGTTGGAAATCTATAGAATGACCATTAGAAACATCTAAAATTGTGAAATAATTATTTACAAGAGTTGCACAGTCTTAAAAATGTGAAAGTATGTATGGGCTGGGAATGTGGCCTAGAGGTAGAATGCTTGCCTAGCATGCATGAAGCCCTGGGTTCAATTCCTCAGTACCACATAAACAGAAAAAGCCAGAAGTAGTATTGTGGCTCAAGTGGTAGAGTGCTAGCCTTCAGCAAAAAAAAAAAAAAAAAAAGCAGCAGCTCAGGGACAGTGCCCAGGCCCTGAGTTCAAGCCTCAGGACTGGAAAAAATAAAAATAAAATGTGAAAGTATGTGAGATCCCATTTGATTCAAAGGGTTTTCTCACATAATATATTTCTTTTGGGGGGGGGAGGGGGGGCCGGTTGTGGGGCCTGAACTCTGGCCCTGGGCACTATCCCTCAGCTCTTCAGCTCAAGTCTAGCGTTCTACCACTTGAGCCACAGCGCCACTTCCGGCTTTTTTCTTTTTGCTTATGTGTGCTGAGGAATCCAACCCAGGGCCTCATGCATGCAAGGCAAGCACTCTACCACTGAGCCACCTTCCCAGCCCCACATAATATATTTCTACTTAGTATTAGAGGATCCTAAAATTTCCATTAACTATAGAATTAGGAAAAAGATCAACAGATTCTTTAGATCCCTTAAAATGAACCACTGTGCTAAGTATCAATCTGCATAAACTTGAAAAAAAAAAGTCAATGAACTAGAAGATGAGCCTCTTTTCAGATTATGAAGTCCAATTTATAAGCCAAAGCTCCACATAGAAACCTGGGATGTCTCTCCAGCCTGTTTGCAAGACCAGCAAACTCTGTAATCCTAAATAAAATGACTTAAGTGAAAAGTACAGTCTGCCTGGAAGATGTGGACCTTACCACTGCATAAAATTAAGATTAAGAGACTCATATACAGACCATTATTAAGGGAGATGCAAACAGTGGCAAACAGAGGTCACTGGCTCCATACTTATTCTCCCTAGGTCCCCTGGAATAACAGAACTTCAGTGTGTACAGAGCATATGCTGTCTCCTGGGGCCTGCAGGCCTCATTCTTCCCTGATGCTGAAGTGACCTGAAGATCCCAGGACTAAGTTCAGGACAACTGCCTGGAGCTAAAGCAGCTTGGGGAATTTCTGGATCTCAATTTGAGAGCAAGCTGGCTGTCCTCCACATTGTTCTCTTCCCCAATGCTGAGGGCTGCAATGTGGATGGAGTTGGGGATGGTGGAGAGATGGGAGCTAGAAGGAGCCAGCTTCTACTAATGTCATTAGGAACCACCTCCCTGGGCTTACTTGAGCCTCTAGTTCTGGACCTCTTTGTTACAGCAGCATGGTCTTTACCCTGCATTAGAGACTGTAACTTTGTACTTAAGATGCTGTGTGGCCTTTAGCCCCATAATGATGTACAATTAAGCAATGATTTAGGAAATTAAAAGGCATAGTAATTATGCACTGGTGATATAGCTCAGTGCTGAAGTATTTGCTTAGCTAGTTCAAGCCCCAGTACCAGCAAAAAAAATTAATTTAAAAAAACAAAACAGCTTGAACTAAGACACATATTTTCCTTCTAACATACAAATGAAAACCCAAGGTACTCACTGTTTCTGAAGACAATGCCCTCTGGAAATTGTCACCCTGAGCCCAAATGCTCTCTGTCACAAATGCTATGTGTTCTGTTTCAAGTCTAAAGGGAGAGACAAGAAACAGGGCCCATTTGTTCAAGTCCTCGATGAACTGCATGGAGGAAAAGAAACAGGATTCAATGTCACTTCAAACCACAAGTGCCAATGATCTCAGCCAGAGTGTCCTGGCAAGCCAGATCCACACAAAGATCTGGAACGTTCTGCAAACCACATCAACTCAGTGCTTCCAGCCACACAGCCCCCTCTATGTCTTGTGAGACAGCATTCACGGCTTTGCTATTTGTTTCTACCCAACTAATTCTGACCACTATTCCTTCCAGCCTAGCATGAAAGAACTTTCCCAATCACATCTGAAAGCACATTTAGTAACTAGTGGTGTCTTGTGCTTATAATCCTAACTACTCAGGAGGCTGAGATCTGAAGCTCACAGTTCAAAGCAAGCCTGGGCAGAAAAGTCTGAGACTCTTTTATCTCCAGTTAAGCACATGGCTGGACACATGTGGCTCACGCCTGTAATCCTAGCTACTCAGAAGGCTGAGATCTGAGGATCTAGGTTCAAAGCCAGCCCGGGGCAGGAAAGACAGTGAGACCCTTATCTCCAGTAAACCACTCAGAAAACCGGAATTGGTACAGTGGCTCCAGTGGTAGAGAGCTAGCCTTGAGCTGAAGAGCTGAGGGTCAGCACCCATGCCCAGAGTTCAAGCCCCATGGGCGACAAAAAAAAAAAAACCAAATAAATAAATAAATAAATCCAGAAGTCAAGCAGTGGCTCAAGTGGTAGAGCACCAACCTTGAATGAAAAAATCTAAGGGACAGCACCCAGGCCCTATGTTCAAATCTCTGTACTTGTACACAAAAAACTAAAGTAAAAATAAGGGAGAAGGCCTGGCGGTGCCTGCCTACCTGCCTGCCTGATGCAGAGGCCCTCTGATGGGTCCTTGCGTTCCTAGGACAGGCAGCTTTACTTACCTAAAGGGATGCAGACCCTGTGACCTGGAAGTACATGATCTGAAACTCACTCAAGCCATCCATCAATCACCAACCCCACAATCAGACAACCCAGTGCAGGGAAAGCCTTTACCACATGCAGAGAAACCATCAGACATATTTTAGAGGGATGCCTGATGCTAGTAGCTCATCTCTGTAATCCTAACTATTCAGAAGGTTAAGACCTGGAGGATCAGTTAGAAACTACCCAGAAGAGAAAAGTCCAGGAGATTCTATCTCCAGTTAAGCAGCAAACTGCTGGACTGGAGGTGTGGCTCAAATAAGAGAGTGCCAGCTATGAGCAAGCAGGAGAGCTGAGGATGAATTTGAACTCAGGTACCTGGTATGTATACATACCTATACAGAGAGACATGTTTTACAGGAAGTATAAATTCCAAACAAAATTGTACCTTCTCCTGGGTACAGAGTGGTCAAGCCTGTAATCCTAGATACTTGGGAGGCAGAGACTAGAGACTCCTGGTTGGAGGCAAGTTTAAGAAAATCTGCCCCAAGCCAGGCACCAGTAGATCACACCTGTAACACTAGCTACTCAGGAGGCTGAGATCTGAGGATCGAAGTTCAAAGCCAGCCCGGGGAAGAAAGTCCATGACATTCTTATCTCCAATAAACCACTAGAAAAACAGAAGTGGTGCTGTGGCTCAAGTGATAGAGAGCTAGCCTTGAGCTGAAGAGCTGAGGAACAGCGCCCGAGCCCAGAGTTCAAGCCCCACGACCAACCAAGAAAAAAAAAGGGGGGGGCTGGAAAGGTGGCTCAGTGGTAGAGCGCTTGCCTTGCATGCATGAGGCCCTGGGTTCGATTCCTCAGCACCACATAAGCAAAAACAAAAAAGCCAGAAGTGGCGCTGCGGCTCAAGTTGTAGAGCGCTAGCCTTGAGCTGAAAAGCTGAGGGACAGCCCGCAGGCCCAGAGTTCAGGCCCCACAACCAGACCCAAAAACAAAGAAAGCAAGAAATGGTGCTGGTGACCCACACCTGTAATCTACTCCAGAGGCTGTGATCTGAAGATTAAGGTTGAAGGCAGGAAAGCCCATAAGATTATTATCTCTACTTATCAAAAAAGCCCAAAGTAGGGTTGTGGCTCACATAGTAGAGTGCTGACAATGAGCATAACTCAGGGTCAGTGCCTTGAGGGAAAAAAAAAGGAACAATAGTGCCCAGGGCCCAAGTTCAAGCCCCAGAACCGACTCGCACACAAAAAAAGACTTTAACTTCCTTTTTGTATGTGTGTTCTGGAGTTTGAACTCAGCCTCATGCTGTCTCTTGGGTTTTCTGTTCACTGCTGGTGCTTCATGGCTCACCTCCAGTCCCAGCATTTTATTGGTTAGAGATAAGAGTTTCGGTTTTGTCTGTCCAGGCTAGCTTCCAGTCTCAATTCTCAGATCTCAGCCTCTAGAGTAGCAGGATTGGATTATAGATGTGAGCCACCTGCATCAGAAGAATTGAGACATTTATATCTCCAAAGTTTTATAAGCTCACGACTTCTTTTCTGGCCTAAACCTCGAGGTTTTTTTGGTTTTGGTGTGTGTGAGCAGTACTGGAGCTTGAACTCTGGTCCTAGCGATCTTGATTGGCTTTTCTGCTCAAGGCTGGCCCTCTACAGCTTGAGTCCCTACAGGTTATTTTCTAAATGAATCAATCGCATTTAGAAACCACTGCAATACAAAACCCCACCCTTGGACTGGCTGTGGGGCTGCGCTGGGCAGGAGGACCCAGAGGATCCGGAGTTCTGAGTCCAACTCGGGACTACAGTAAGACCCTACCCAAAAACAAAAGAGCATCCGGAAAGCTGCCCTCGGCCACTCAGATCGCAGTTATCTGTGTCAACCGTGCTCCCAAGGGACCCAAGCGGCGGGGCGGGCCCGGGGGACCGGCGGGGCGGGCCGCACTGCACGGGTCAGCACCGGGCGGCGCTTCCTTGGCAGGGCTGGTCGCTGCGGTCTTCCCGTGCGGGCCGTGGTCAA